AAGAAAGGCCGTAAGACGTCGCTGCAGTAACAACTCACCTATCTGACTTAATGCTCTCATACAAGAGTGGCAGGATTCGCAAATTACTCTTCTGGTTCACTTTTTTTCAATGTTCAACCTATCGTCCCTTGTTCGAAGAACCAGAAAACTAATACAATCAGAAACGGGTATGTGCCATAAAAATTGGCTAATTCCCACCACCCATCACCGGTCCGCTAAAAATGAATGCAACAGTTAGCCCAACAACAAATGTCTGCGACACGACGGCGGTGAGCCGAAAACCCCGGGTACGTACAATGAAGGGGTACCATGCAGGCAATATGAAAGGCAACGGCAACAAGGATTGAATAATTAATTGATTGATTGATTGATTGATTGATTGATATCTGGGGTTTAATGTCCCGAAACCACCATATGAGTATGAGAGACGCCGCAGTGGAGGGCTCCGGAAATTCCGACCACCTGGGGTTCCTTAACGTGCACCCAAATCTGAGCATACGGGCCTACAACATTTCCGCCTCCATCGGAATTGCAGCCGCCGCAGCCGGGATTTGAACCCGCGACCTGCGGGTCAGCAACCGAGTACCTTAGCCACTAGACCACCACGGCGGGGCGGCAACAAGGAGAAGGCCCCGAAGCGATGGGAGGCACACGTCGACGACAGTGTGGCCATAGGTCTATGAGAGGTGTGAACGCTTGACTTCAGCGCCAGTTCCTGTCTCTGAAGTTTAGACCATACGTATCGCGTCTGCGACTGCGTGTTGTTTTACTAGAACCTCTGTGTTACGAGAATCAACAATGAGGTAACCTAGGATCTCCTTGCTAAAGCATTGGAACGATCTAGAAGTGACGTGGAAACAACCTGCATCACCAATGCCTACAAGGAACCTAGAAGCAACCATATTGGTCTTCAGAAGGCGTTTCATATTTGCTCTATATAATTCAGAATCTGTTTTCATACTTCAGTGAATCCGTAGTTAGGTCTCTACCAATACGTTTCTCGAAAACTCGCGAGAAATACTGTGCGGAAAGGACCTATGCCTGAGATAAGGGAAAAGTCATCTTTCAAAAATACAATGTTCAATGAATCGGTCAAACATTTATTTGCTTCGTATAGTACGATTGCAACTTGCAGTTTCAACCCAACTCCCTCCCCTTAACCGCTTCAACCTTCTTCCGATCTCGTGGGTTATCGAGAGAGCCACTACAACTCACTAGATGTGCTCACGAGAATCACTTAGCTCCAGAAAAAAAACACAGCACTCAAGAAATACACACATGGGACAAGCGGTACTTACGACCGTTTCTTCCACCGCGCTTGTCCATTCTGTGTCTTTCTCAGTGTCTGCTCTATTAATGAAAAATAACAGACTGTTACGTCCCAATAATCTCATTAGTGTTGTGCCTAACAAAGAAGTGCGAGTCCTTAAATTTAAATTTCCTTGTGTGCTGCATTTTGTTTTTCTTTTTGCGCTTTGTCATTCTCGTCAGTACGCACCAACTATAGGCCCTCAAAGAGCCCTTTTAGGCTGAAGCCAGCTTGAAACTCGCGTGATTGGCGGTCGCTGTTCGCTGTATGTTAGAGCTTTCTCAATGCTGCGCGGTATAAACGGGATGCAACCGCAGACAAAGCGGCGTTATGCACATTGGCAAAAGGAGGAGAACGTTAATTCGTGACAGTGTGCTTGAAGGCCTACTCGTAGAAAAGAAGGTCTACCTAAACGAAGAAAGAAAGAATGAACGAAAAAAAAGAAAGAAAGAAAGAAAGAAAGAAAGATAGATAGATAGATAGATAGAAAGAAAGAAAGAAAGAAAGAAAGAAAGAAAGAAAGAAAGAAAGAAAGAAAGAAAGAAAGAAAGAAAGAAAGAAAGAAAGAAAGAAAGAAAGAAAGAAAGAAAGAAAGAAAGAAACAACCAGAGAGAGAAAGAGAGAGCTGCATATCGAAGACGGGCCTTCATGAAGAGAGGAGACAGTCCACATCATAGCTCGTGCGCGGACTGGCGGGATTTTCTCTCCAGCTACCCCGTGCGCGGACTTTTTCTTCACGGGACCTTCAGCGTGCACGACGGACGGAACTTGCACAACGCCCACCGAACGAGATGGAGTGCGTGCCGTCCTCGAAGAAAATAATCCTCGCTCTGGTCTCGTGCGCTTTGGCTCTCTCATCGTCGTACGCTGACGCGGACACCGCTAACGGTGAGTTGGGACGCCTTCTAGAGAGCGGCTTGAGCGACTCGTATCTGGTGACGTACGTTCCGCGGGGAAACAAACTTATGGCTTTTCTAGAATCACACGAAACGAATTTTTTTTTTCGAACTGATATTGGCGAATAAAGATTCGTCAAGTCGGTAGAATCGAGACGGATGTTCGGGGGAAGGTGGAGGCACGCAGGGATTTGTTTGCGTATGCGAAAAGAAAAAGAAAACAATACCATTCGCTTGCACGGAAATTTTAGAAGCTATGAGTTTAATAAGAAGAGATCTTTCCCTTTTTCTTTATTTTTTTTCTTTATTTTTTCTTGATCTTTATTTTTGTCAAGCTCTTGTGGCTTCTGTAAATGGCATCGTAGTTCAGACGTTGCATTCCTTTAAAAAAACTAAAGCTGAGATTATCTCTCAAAGACGAGATGCATTTTTATTGCAATATAGACATTCCCTTAAAGCATAATGTTTTGCGCACATATGTGTAGCAATGTTGCCAGATGCTACAATGCAAACAAGCAGATTCTCATCACAATGAAAACATAAAAAAGTGGAAACAACGAATTTTCCTGTTGTCGTAGATATTTTTAGTTAAGACTAAAAATTTCACTCAAATATGGAAGAGAGTTCAAAAATCACCTATTTCTTTTCTAGAGTGAAAATATACGTAATTATGAACGAAAGTCCACAGTAACCCTTTAACATTGCTTCCAGGGTAGCCTCGATTCGGACGAATGTACAGACGCGTCCAATGTTATAGGGAACACCCTGAGTGCGCAGCATGCTGAGATTTCGCAATCTTACGAAAGCATAGAAGCTTAGATATGCAAAGGACTATACTGGTGGTTGATATTTGTGACTCCTCTTGAAAGACTAGAGATGCGCGTGTAGATTGAGATTGTTTTCATCACCACTTGCTGTTAGAGGGCCAGCAATAGTGATGGCGCACATTCGAGTGTTCCCCCTTTACCGGTGTATGCATGGTACTGTATGTTTTCCAGTACATGAAAGACGCTAGTTGTCGATTCTCCCAGCTTATGTCTGACTTAGACACGTCATGTCATTGCCATGAAATTGCGTGTTGGTGTCAGCGTTCATGGGGTGAGAGTGAGGCCCAGTGGAGTGTAAAGGAGCGCGTCGATGTCGAAATTTAGGACCATACGCTTTCAGAATGACGAACATTTCTCGTTATTCCGATGAAGAAGCCGCTCTACGAAAACGCGGTGAGAGCTGACGCGGGAGCGGGCATGTCGCCCAGCCAGTCGCAATGTTTGCGCAAGAGAGGCCGAAGCTGAGCGCCAATGTAGGCAAGTCTCGATAAACATAGACGCACGATATAGCCTGTTGTAAGAGGGGCACCATGCTCGCTGTTCCGACAGTGTGCAAGAAATGGACCTGCTTAAATCTTTTCATTGTGGACAGTCGTTTTGAACGTAAGAAAAAAAAGAAAAAAATACTTCTGATATTGCACAAAACTTCAGGAACGGTGAAATACCTCAAAAATTTCCAAAAGCATGACCGGACTAGGAAGGTGCACCCCTGCATCTTACAGCCTTTGCAATAGAGTTCAACGCTATGGTAGCGTATTTCCGTCGTTAGAGCCACTGCTCAACGCGACGCGCTACAACCCTGCTGTAGGTATATAGGGAGCCTACAAAGGGGCCGGTAATGTAGGTTCTCTAGCGGTAGATAAAGGCGTAGTTGCTTACTGCTCAGAGTTTGCTGATTTTTTTTTTTTTGGCCGTGGACTATTGTTTTCTCCGTCTACTTTAGCGTAGACCACAGTCGCAGACGTAACGGCTAGCAACGGCTAAGCAATGGCAGCAAGGTAGCAGTTGCAACACGGTCTTGTGGCGGGATGTGGACAGAGACGCGTGGCGAAGGCTGTAAGGCAAAACGCTTGCGCGCCTTTCCAGTCCGGCCGTGCCGAATCATTACGATTACAGTGCACTTTTGGCTTCTGCAATTGTTCCTGGTGCATCTACTACGCAAATGCATAAACTCTCAGGAGATTCGTTTGCGATCACTACATGGAGCGATTTATCTTCCACTCTGGTAAATACACGCTCGATTTTCGGGTGAAAGGCGAATAGGCGAACACTCTAAATTGCCGGGTACGATTGAAAGACCGATATGTGGACGAGACATATAAATCTTGCACTATGTGAAGAAGAAAAGGAAAAAAATAGCAGGAAAAGAACGGCAGGGAGGTTAACCAGTCTATAGGCAGCTGACTTGCTACCCTGCGCATGGGAGAGGGATGGGGGAGATGGAAGATAGAGTGGAGAGAGTGAAGAGCGATAAACACAGCACATTAAGCAACACATGCGCGCACAGTATGAAGAAGATTTCTTATACTGAGGTGGAGCATTACAAGTCCGGGGCATTTTCTCCTCATTTGCGTATACGCACGCAAGCCTGCACAAACGGACACGCAGTCTTCGCGACCCCGCCTTTGGAGAACATTGCCTAGTGCATGAGCGGCACTATTTGTTGTGTCGCGGAGAAGATCGGCTGTTGCGCTTCGGTCGTCCAGACGGGACCTCTCCAAACTTCTCAAGTTCCAAAATGGTGCCCTATGTCTGCTGCACTTTTTGTGTCTGCTGTAAAAACTCCGAAAATTTGCGCGTTTTTATTTCCTGACATCAAGTAGAGCTGTGACCTTTTCTATAAAGTACTACAAGGTACTTTCATTTCTCACACTGATTCTTATGAAAGAGATACTAATCGTGTGTTTTTTTTCTTGCTCATGGCTACCCTTCAGTCACCGGCGTGCATGCCAAGACCCTGTGCAAGGAAGTTGCCTTCGGCTGTCCATTAGGTTACGAGTGCAGGACGCCCAATGAAGGCTGCCAGAGCCACTGCGACTGTTGTAAGGTTTACTTCATTTTTCAAAGCTTTTTCTAAGCGTAAAGTATCCAGTATCCTAGAAATATCGGTAGAGGATATTTTTTGGCGCTAGTGATCTGTAAGCTAAAGAGCCGATTGGCGTTGTACAGCGTTTTGTTTAAAAAACTTTGTCCTCACGTTGTCGAAAAGGCGTTCTGTGACTTTGTAAATTGGACATCTTTATCTCGAAGACCAGCGTGTAAATGGCTTCTTGTTTAGAGAACTACAGAAGTAACTCAAAATTCAGACTGCGTCAAAGGCAGATGAGGCGCAATAAATCAATTTTCTAGAACGTCTAGTCACAAGAATTCAGGTATTGACTATGGTATAGCTAACAGGCGGTAGTTCTAGCGTTTCTTCCTTTGATAAGTAGATTCTAAGCACCAGAGACGTTCAATTTTGAGGATGACTCAAACCTAACTAACGGAAATCACTTTTTTTCGCTTTTCAGATGACCCTGTAGCCAACGGTAAGTGAGATCATCTGCAACGTTTGCGATGCATCTAAAGAATCTTATGTATTTAATATATACAGTTGTAAAGTACGATTCCTGAAGCCGAGTGAACATGCAAATGTATTTGGACCCAATATTAACTTGAATAGCGGATGTTTCCATTGGTACCGAATAATTTCTGCAGTACCTTCATTAAATCTTTTCGAATTATTAGTCACAGTATCGATGAACAGGCAAAAGGTAATTCTGTGATGCAAGAATTACGTGATCGAGCCGACGACAGTCTATGTGAAGCAAAGCATTTTGGAAACTACAAATAAGCGCTGTAAAAATAAATGCGACACCGAGTACAGTTAGCTCTCACTGTCATGCTATGCAGCCCGCGATCTCGTGCAATACTTTTGGCTAACGCCAACTCGCAATGCTCGCCAACCGCAGTGATCACGATGTTAACAGATTACTTGCGGACCACATCGTTAATCACACACGTCTAAATGCGAGCGTAGCATATTCAAGCGAATACCCGCGGTGCGGTGATGACACCTTCACGAGAAGGAAGCCGTTGTTTGATATTTGCCAACAGAAGGATGAGGGAGAAATGTGTGTAACAAAAAGTAGTGTCGCTGCGTTACAGCCTGGTTTGCTTGAATGCAGTGTACGCTCATTTATATATGTAACTTGTCTGTATGTTCAGAAAAAAAAAAGAAGACAGTCGTGTGTACTATCGGCATCAAATGAAACGGGAACAGCGGAGCGCGTGGCACAAGTCTTATCAATGGCTTAGTGCGCGCCATCCATTAGTCATTGACACAGACAGGCCCGCATATACGGTGTGGCAGCACTGAGCGATCCCCCTATAGATTTCTACAGTGCAATATTTTTGCTTTTTGTTTCAGGTATGGTAATTCTATTCGAAAAGAACAAAACAAAGAAATACAGAGGGTGATGGTTTGTCATCGCGGAGTCCATATTCACGAAAGGCCTGGCAAATTCTATTTATAGTAGACAAAACTATGTTCGCAATGCTGGCGATTTCACGCTGTTTCACTTCGTGCTGGTAAAGCGAAACAATTTGCGCTCTCTCTTTCGAAGAAACGCTCGGCATTTCCAGTTACAGTGAAGCCTTTTCTGGTCGGTCTCTGTAAGAAGGGTGCAAGTGAAGCAGCGCTGGCGAGTGAAATACGACGATCGTTTGAAAATCAACCGCAAGCCGATTATATTTCTCTTTTTGTTTTGTCTTGCCAACACATTGATTGCACTGCGACGCTGAAGTAAAAGCAAGGAATTGCGAGTGATGCGGTCAAAAGCGGTTGGCTCGCCCACGATGGACAACATTATCCCCATACGAAAACTATAGGGCAGAAACGGAGATAATGCACTCTATGGGTACCGCGCAGTGCTGCCAAACCAGATGTGCACGCCTGTCAATGGTGATGACTGGACGGCCACCACTATACTGTTTCTAATGTTTGAAACACGCGCTCCACTGTTCGGGTTTCATTTGACGCAGATAGTACACGTTATTACACAGAGATACTTTCGAGCTGACGTGGCCAGACAGGAGCTACATTACGTCACGTGAAACCAAAGACCTAGAAGCGATTGTTGGCACCCGTTGTTGTAACAAACCGCATGACAGGACGTTGTCTCGATTGGTTGTAGGTAAAAGGCTAAGCATTAAGGGAGCATTCTCACTACGAAAGATCTCGCTGCTCAAAAGTTACCACGCTGGAAAGAAGCGCCGTGGCATCTTTAAGGGACTCTGTGACATCGAGCTGGTTTGCAGGAACTTGACACCATTAAAAGTAGTACGTTTCAGACTTATCTTGAGATTTGGCAGCATGCATCTTCCGAGTTTCACGTCAGAGTTGATCCAGCCCTGATGTGAGACCGGCAGACTTTCTTCTTCTTCGGCAGCTGGCCTTTGGGCCGTCTTTGCAGCACAGAGATCGCGTTGAAGTCGCTGTATGAGCGCCCAAACTATGTATTTCGAGAAATTCAAACAGAAGGTACCAATCAGATCAATTGATTCTTTTTACTGAACCCAATCTTCTTAGTCGACGGACAGTGCCTGTGCATTCACGTCGATGACACGTACTACTCATTTACCTCTCTGTGGCGCGCAGTGTCTCTGCCACAGGGCTGTCCTGTTCACATCAAGCCGTGCGAGGAGGGACACTTCTGCATGCCGGACAAGGCCGGCGAATGCCACACTTGCAACTGTGACAGTGAGTACTATATGTGTTGTGTATAGAGTTACGATACGCCTCTCACGAGAACGAATGACTGATTAGAAGGTGGAGGAAGAATAATATCAGAAAAATTTCCAATTCAATTAAAAATTTGAATAATTTTGATAGCTTTTCCCATTATAGAATAACTTACAGCGCAACGGCTTATACACCGAAAGAATAGTAGGACACAGCGTCGTCCGTACCTAACCCGTAGCGCTGTCAATTGTTCTACAATGAACACCTACCAACTTGCCCAACTCGCTATTTGCATATTTTTGTTTTATGTGTGCCACCACCATAAAAAGTTAAACGAATATATATACAGTAAAACTGCGATGGAACTGACGCAGTAAAAGTGGTATACTTCATTATATCGGAACCTCGTTAAATGGGAACTGATATGTGGGGTTTAACGTCCCAAAACCACTACATGATTATGAGAGACGCCGTAGTGGAGGGCTCCGGAAATTTAGACCACCTGGGGTTCTTTAACGTGCACCTAAATCTAAGCACACGGGCCTACAACATTTCCGCCTCCATCGGAAATGCAGCCGCCGCAGCCGGGATTCGAACCCGCGCCCTGCGGGTCAGCAGCCGAGTACCTTAGCCACTAGACCACCGCGGCGGGGCCCTCGTTAAATGGGAATTCCCCCTTTAGAGTCAAGTGTAATGATGAGATACTCCTTCTTTCTTTCTTTTTTTAATTTGTTCCCCCTTGTAGGGCCGGCAAAATGTTCGAATAGTATGGCACATACAAAAAATATAGCTTCCCTAATGCGAAAAACCAACCTTTTCGAACAGGAGATCCGGCACTCGTGGTTCCAAGGTGCGCCGTCGAATAAGGCTTCTTCACATAGCCAGAACTTTACGCGTGAACCATAATAAGACGCAGGCACAAAGAACTGTGCTAATATAAACTACGCCTTCGCAAAAATCCCATGAGACACAACGATGTGAACGCTGGGCCCAGCAGAAGCTACAACTGATCGCTCCGATTTTCTTACGTGGCCCGGGGTAGCACTTAAATTTTGTTATATTGAAATCACGGGTAACGCGCTTCGCTATACTGAGGGTCAGAAGGTGCGGTGGACGATGAACGGGAAGTAGAGAAAATCAAAATATGAAACGCAGATTGTAACCGCGCAAGCGTTTTTATGCTAAGAGTAAGAGTCACACTAGAATGGTATACCATTCATTTGGCTGGGGCAGATACAAAAATTCCGTTAACTAAGACGGTGGTAACCAAGTGCATCCGGATAATAGCTTCGCTGTCGGTTATACGATAAAATTGTGTGTTTAGAAAAAGTGGTTAACGATTTAGAGTACTAGGTACTCAACTATGGGAGAGCATGAAGCCGTCCCCTGGGAACCAAGAAGGTTACGCCCAGCGAGTTTCCGGAAGTAAAACTGATGTGACTCGCATTAGAAACGAGATCTAAAACACGAATTGCTGGGCTAAGAATAATACCACCGGTTATCGTTTGCAGATTATTTGGTCTTCGCTGTGCGGCACTCTTTTAATCTCGATTTCGGCTATGACTACGGATGGCAAAGCAATCGTTCTGGAAAGCCTTTTGTCACGAATTGCACCAGATAACTATGTTGCATCATTATTATTATGTTTTTAACATCGACCTTTTCCGCCTGAATAAATCATGTTCACTTAGTTCGTGGCTTCGAGCTGAACTGTCGATTGGATGACAGCGCTCGCTCTCTTCACAACTATGGAACGTTGCGTACAGAAAATGTACAAGTGACAAAATGTACACTGGACTATCAGATGTTCCAGTTAGTATACGGTTTTTTTTTTCAGATTTAGTGCACTTACTGGATTTACTGAAAGAAATATCTACATGGAAGATGCTGACCACGTCGCTGGATATGATAGCCTATACTTTTCAACCTCACATTTGTAATCAAAAAATAATGGAATATGAGGTGGAATAATGCTATAAAATACAAAGAATGAATAAGGATACCTGGGTTGTTGCAATATCTCATGTATGCCGTTGAAAAACAGTTTTATTTATTTAATATTATTGTTAGGCCATCAATAAAACAAATTCAAAGGCAGATTTCTCTAAGAATATTATAGCATGTTGTCTTAAACGCCACATCTACCTGATGTTACGCGCAAAATAGAAAACGATTTTTCGCCTCAACAGCGCGTTCCTGATCGACCGGTACGCTGTCAGCAATGTCTGGGTGCTTCTGTCCTCGCGTTTAGTAAGTTTGTGCTCTTCACCGCACGTGTACATGGACACGTATTAACAACTGTCTCCTAGCAAAACACAATTCTGTACAATATGCTATGCGCCCTGCCTTCTGTCTTGTCCGTCTTCGTCGTACGAGGAAAAAAAACTTTATTGTGAAACCTCTCCGTAGTCAATTCAGCCCTTGCGATCTTTGAACGAGGCTCATTTCGCGGAACGCACCGCAATGTCGCGATGACAGTGATGCGGCGGCGCGCGTCAGCTCGGACTCACGGAACAGCCATGACACGACGATCGTGTCCGGTTCCTTCAAGGATTTTCCCCTCCCCTTTCACTACATATACCCTACTTGCAGTGTCTACATATGCACGCACTTCTGTTGCAGCGAACGTATATTATGCTACACGCTTATAACCGTGACGAAGAAACGTGACTGTTATGTACCTTTCTTTTTTTGTGTGTGTCCCTCTCTAATCATTGTCGTTGAGTCACCGTGATCGTGGGTTCGAAGTCGTCAATGACAAATAATTTGCGTTGAAATACACGGAAACAGTAATACAGTGGGAAGGATAAACTGTTGTGCAGACGGGACGCGTGACGTATCTTATCGTGTATTGTCCGAAAAAAGAACAAGGAAAACGATGGGGACTAAAAGAAGCGTCTAGCACGCATGCCTACTAAGAAGAGCAGTGATCAACTGAGGGGAGAAAAAAAAACGCTACAAACAGACGAGCGATTATTAAAACTTCGACTTGATTTCTGATTTAGCGCCTCTCCTAATAAATTTTGAAGCCCACCAAAAAAGAAAAGCTATATTGCCGAACTTCGATGCAATTGTCGTGAAGCTGGCGTTTAGTTGATGCCTTATGTACTGACACTACGTGTGCCTGTTTTAAACATTGAATAATGATAGTGTGCTTCTTTCAAAGCGCTTCAATTACCAATTTTCGAAGTTTGGTAATTTAAGATGGCAAAAATTGGGTTCCTATATAGGCGAAATGTTACTTACACGTAGGTACCGCAACGTGAACCTGAAAAAAAAAATAACTACCCCTTACGCTATGCTCGGAAAGCGCCTGGCTGGGAGAACATGGAGCGTTTAAGATATAATAATACATGATAGAGACTTCAGTAGCGTCAAGGTTAGCAGTGCTGTACAGAACGAGATGGCGAAGAAGGCCATCTTGTTCTGTAAGTGGTGTGCTTGCGCCAGACTCGTTGTACATCCGTCTAAGACAAATACACAATAAAAGCGAGACACCTTTTTCCTTCGCAATCAGTTGTTGGATTCCCCCTCCTCCGAAAGGTTTCTACGCCTATTGTGGTTCTGCATTGACTCCGAGATGGAAGGCATTGTAAGCTTCCTGCACCTCGCGTATTTCGGCATGACCTGCAGGATCAGCCTAGCTTAGAGCAAGTGATAGTGTCGTGTGATGACGTCATAACGATGTCACAAATGTTGGCCATCTCTAAAGTCACGATGTGACATGGTCGCTCGAACAAGACCCCGAAGACTTTTCCCGTGACTTGTGCGAGACCTCACAGTTTCGCAAGTTCTCGCGCAAGACTGGCCGACAAAAGCGTCAGAGTGTTCACTGAAGTCTTTGTCTTTATTAATGAATTAACGATTGTGAAATTTGTGAACGGTTTAGAACCTTTTAGAATCTACAATCAAAGGGCCGTACGACGCTGCCCCGGAAACAATTCACTCGACGTCCTATGAGGGTGAATGGGACAAGGACACAGAGAACAAGCTGTCGGCCGTTCAGCGAGCCAGGGCCGTCGCCGACAACCTCGGACGGTGGTTCCCGAACGATGTTCCTCGAACGACCGATTCCCGGCAGCCCACCCCGGGCGCAGTAACAACGTCTGGGGAAAATAAAGTTGAATAAACTTCCTGCAGGAAGGCGGAAAGGTTTACATGTTACGTGGCGTTACTCTACAAAAGGGAAAGAGAGAAGGAAAAAAAAACGGGAACCTTTCGCTCACCGGGGAAAGTGGGCAAGGGAAGTTAGGCGTGTGCATTTTTAACGTACTACTTTCTTTCCTAGGATGCCAAGAAAGTCAAAATAATACACATATACGTACATTAGTTTAGTTTTATCTTAAAGAGATGGATGTTGGGCATACACATTAAGTAGTGAAACAAAAATAAAGCATGATACGTTCATGAATGGGCCCGGCTGCCAACTGTCTTCATAACAATTTGTTTAATGATGTAGGATGCCGTACGCGTCCTACGTCGCAGCACAGAACAAATGCTCTACGATTCAGAGTACGATGTACTCGACTCCGCTCTCCCGATGCCAACCCCAGCTACGTCATACGAGATCGTCATCATAATCATCATCAGCCTGACCACGCCCACAGCAGCGCAAAGGCCTTTGCCATGATCCTAATATCAACCCGGTTTTCTGCTTTCTGCTTCCACGTTATGCCTGCGAACTTTTTACTCTCAGCGGCCCACCTAACTTTCTCTCTCCCCTTCGTGCGTTTGCCTTCTCTGAAAATATTGTCACTTACCCTTAATCACCAGTGAATATCCTGCCTACGTGCCCGACCCGTGTAAATGTATTCTTCTTGATTTCAGCTATGACATCCTTAACCCCGGTTTGTTCCTTGACCAACTTTGCTCTTTTCTGGTCCCTTACGGTTACACCTATCATCTTCTTTTTCATCGCTTGCTGCGTCGTCCTCAATTTAAGCTGAACCCTCTTTGTAAACCTCCAGGTTTCTGCTCCTAAGTACCGGCAAAGTTCAGCTGTTATATACCTTACTCTT